GACTTTCCCCTCCTTTTTCATTTTCATCTTTTTTTGCCGCTCGCATATAGCGAAAAGGCATGAGTAGTCGAGCGCGTGGTTTAGCGCTCGACTCCCAACCGGAATAAGACTCTGTCTGGGTACGATGATTTGCTCGCTAACCCGGGCCTATTTTTTTTTTTAATCTCTTTGAGCGAACGAAACGAGCGGACTCATCTTGAAAGGTTTTCTTTTTAGATTATTGGTCGAACGTTGGTCCTGAACCTGAAATTTGAGGTCCTTGCCCAAAACATTCCAGGTTGTGGTCCAGCACGAAAGAGTCTCCCTTATATGTTGGACTCTCACCCTTTGCTCACTGCCAACCACTGCCAAGACGTCAAGGTCGCCGCAAGGGTTGAACGACTTATCTTTCAACCCTCCTGGCGCAACCCTGAAACCCATAAAAGGTTGCGTGGTTGTGGGTAACGAGTGAAGTATCGCCATGATAGTCGATTGAACGAGTACGCATAATCAAGTGTTATAGCCTCCTTCACGCGCACATTCCTTTTATGCATCTTTGAACCTTGCCCAAACATTCTTGCACTTTTTGAGTTATGAGTCAGAACATTTGCAGAAGGGACTAGGCATATACGTATGTTCGAGTTGGTAATATTATTATTTGTTATGTGGCACGTGGTTAGGTTTGGATGTCCTAGTCGACCGGTGTATAACCGCGCATGGGAGATTGACGCCCCACGGGACGGTTCACGTGCGGGTCCAATCTAGGCGTAGATCGTGTGTGCCCCCTATGCTACAACGAACGAGAAACGCCCTCGGTTGGGCCATATTCATGATTGCACATAAAAACATTCACATGTGGTCCAGTAGCTCGGCAGGGATACGCCCACCAAAGGGATGATGACAGCTCCCGCGGGTGGAGGTAGAGTTGGCGCACTTGTCCGGAGTGGCTCCGCTGCTTCCTTTTACATAATGTGACTCGTGTATCTGCCAATCCTGTGTGACACGACCGGGAATGTCCCCTCTATGGGGACCGGACGCTCGACTGCGACTCTACCCCAACCAATCAATTAATCAACCAATCAACAAATATGTACGAAAATGTTAAAAAAGAAAGAAAAAACCTAAATCGGGGGGGGGTCCATAAGTTTTCAACCCCCTTTATTGTCTACCTTTTTTTTTTTTTTTTTTTTTTTTTAACCACCACTACCTTTTTTACTCTTGGGAAAACTGAAAAAACTGACTGTTTTCCCATCTTTTCTGAACTTTTCAGGGGTTAGATGCGGCTTGGTATTTGGGTCTTGTGGGCCCCTTAAAAAAACAAAAGATCATGTCGGGGAAGGTCGTGCACCAAGTTGTGCTCACTCCAAAACTCACACGTTCGTATCTAACCACTATAATGGTCAGTTTCATGTTTCATTGTTTACGTTTCTTGTTTTCTTTGTTTTTTTAAGTTTTGGTGCCCCACCAAGGAGGCATGGTGTGGTTCACTGGTTGCGGACACTTTGTGGAGAAGAGCATGCCCACACTATTACTTTGCAGAATCTATGAACCCACTTTCCCGGCCTAAGTTCAGTTTCATCTTTTTTTGTCCTTTTGTTTCCCCCGTGGGCCTAATACCCTTGTCATAAAGCCCTCACTGAGGCATACGTACACAACGATTTTGGGCCAGGTAACTACCTGGTATCACATCCAGAGGGGTGTTTGTTTTTTTTGTTTTATTTTTTTGTGGCTGCGAGCGGGTCGTTTTTCAAAAGTATGGCCGTTTTTTTTTTTTTTTTTTTTTTTTTTACAGGAGAGTACCAGAAAAGAAACAATACGGAACCACGACTAGGTAAAACTAGGTGCGCAGTGAAAATCAGACTCAACAGGCTCGGACACAATTTTTTGGTGGGTACGCGACATTGTTGTTTGTCTGTAAATAAATAAATAAATTTAAGTCTCCAAACGAGGTTCTGCGGGACGTGAATCCCTACGGGGACGGGCCCCGAACGCCTGAACGTTCAGAGGTTGGCCTGGGGGCCTCCGAAAGTACGGGCTGGTAACACTGGGGGCCCGAGCATTTCTTTTGCCATCTGCAGGGGCTGAATACTGGGGCATATAGACAAGTTGCCTAGGACCTGATAGGGGTATATGCAAAAGATGACAGGTACAACTGGCAAGTTAGGTATTTGGCAAAGTTTCACTACTGTCATAGGGACATTTCGCCATACCCATGCCTTTTAGGGATATCTCGCAAAATACCCATTTCAACAATTTTCCCTTTTTTTCCCCGTTGGAACCCTTCCATAAGGCCTGATGATTTCGGTCCATACAAGGCCAAAATGGCGGCAAGAAACAACGAATTCACCTGCAATGAGGACTATCATGATATTTAATTGGAGCTGAAGTATTGCTTGCACGGGCCTACATTTGCATCGTAGCACTACTGGCCATGACCAATCACCACCACGCCCAACATACTCACGCGTTAACACAAGAGTACTGCTCCACCAACTGCTTTTGCCCTGCCCTTAGCATTTCATTCTCTCCGTGAGTTTATTGCATCCCCTTATTGTTTTGTTCTTCAGAACATGATTTTATTTATTATTATGTTTTTTTGCTGTTGTAAAGGCTGGATTATAGATTGACTTACCGTGAGGGCACGGGTGCGCAACCCGTAGTTTGTTTGTTTATGTGGTTCGCGAAGGGTAAGGTAGTGATTATGTTGTATGTATGTTTTGTCATGTTCGCTATAGACAACTCGAAGAGAGAGTGTGTGTGGGGTCCCGCTTGGTGCTTTGTTCATGATGTTCATGGGACGCTGGACCCAGTTTCCAGCAGGTGACGCTCCCCATCAATAGACAAGAGAATGTATGTGCGTGTGTATATGAGTGTGTGTGTGTGTGTGTGTGTGTGTGTGTGTGTGTGAGAGAGAGAGAGAGAGAGAGAGAGAGAGAGAGAGAGAGAGAGAGAGAGAGAGAGAGAGAG